GAAAAATGGGCAGATGAGTTAACTAAGCAAGCAGCTGGGAAACACCATATTGGCGACTTTTTGCCTCCGGAAGAGCTGAGAAAGTAAGTTTGAATAAATTTGTATATATATAGAATATGTTTGTTGTATATATATAGTAGGAAAGGTGTATATTGTAGGAAAGATTTGTATATTAAGAATAAAATCAGAAACTACTGATGGACCAATTTCAAAAATTCTGTCACCATTCTACTATGCCCTGAGTAGCATAGGTTATATTTTCAAAAATAAATGTCCGTATGGCCATGTAATATATAGATATTGAAATTTTTATGGAATTTATTCAAACTATAGTGTGTTGAAAAGAAGGTTTATACATCAGATATTGGCAAATTTTTTTTGGATATTTTTATTTCCAGTAAATATTTAATATTACATTTTCATTAAAACAAAATGAACATCTGAAAAATATTAACACCTGTGAAAAAAAAGAAAATTAAAAATTACAGTGTCCAAAGATTACCTAATTAAATAGATTTACTTAGGGTCTGTTTCACAATGTACGAATAAGTTCTACATAAGTTCCAAATTAGCTATTAATTACTTATTGGTAGGACACTATTGTTGCGTTTCACGACTGTCAGATAGCGCTATTCGTCACATAAAGTCCATCATAAGTTATGAGTCCGATGAATGTCAAATAGCACAATTTATCTTCCAAATAATTTATGTGTTGCATAGCTATTTGGTACTTTATCCATACATTGTGAAACAGACCCTTAGTATAATTAATTAGAAGATTTTATGTTTAGTCTAAGTTAAATGCTATCATTTATAGGTTTATGGAGCAATACTCAGCAGCCCGTGGTGGCAAAGAACCTGATTTATCCGACTATAAGGAGTACAAACTGAAGGAGGACAATATTGGTATGTTCATTATAAATACAGCAGTTACTTTTGTGTTAATTCTATTAATATTTAATTTAAATTAATAAATGATAAAAAACTGATATTTATTTAAATATAAAATAACTTTTTTTAATTTGATTATAAATAGTAAAAACAATTACATTCAATTTATATGAGTCTGCGAGTATTTTTTGTAATTACAGTGTATACTCTTTATAGCGAATTTTAAGGGACCGAGAATTATTATTTGTTACAGAGACGTTTCGTTATAGGGAAGGAAGCATTAATGTTTGGGTATTTTTTTAAACCAATCAAATTTTACTGACTTTTACGTTATATAGATTGTTTCGTTATATGGAGGGAAGAATTAATGTATGGGTATTGTGTTAAACCAAACAAATTTTACTTATTTTTTCACGTTATGGAGAGTGTTTCGTTATAGCCAAAGTCGTTATAAAGAGTATACACAGTAAGATAACATTTAAATGCAAATATTTTGTAATCTAATATTTTTAGGATTTAAAATGCTTCAAAAGTTGGGATGGAATGAAGGGCAGGGGCTTGGGGCTGAAGGAACGGGAATTATTGAACCTATAAATAAGTATGTATAAATTTACTTGTATTGGGTATAAAAATACAAATTCGTTCAAATCGATCCAGTGGTTTAGCAGTTGAAAAATTTATAACATTATTTCTTACAAAACATTAAAATCACAAAATAATAATTTGTTACATTAAATGTGTAGTTTATGGTTTATACTTTGTAGTAAAAAAAAAATGGCGCTACAACCCATTTTTGACGTTAGATTTCTGTATCTGTTACGTTATCTTTTTTTCTTATAAGAAATTAGGTGATCAGCCTTCGGTGCCTGACCAACGATTGTTAGGTTTAATTCTAGTTTGCTACGTTTTCTTGAATGAGAGAGTGTTTGAAGAAAGACCAGTCCTTTGGTACAGCCGTGATTCGAACGCATGACCTCAGAGTTCAAAGACGAACGCTTTTAAGGACTCTTACACTAAAACATTTAATACCGATTTAAAGAATAAATGGTTACACTTATTTATATAAGTTCAAATCGCTGAATGTTTTTTAAGGAAACTAAAAGTAAATTAGGATAATTAAAAAAATAATTTGTATTTTAAGAGCCAACCAGCCATTATCCAACTTAGGCTTAGGAGCGGCTCAGTCTGAGCACGTCTCACCGAATGACGACGAATTCGACGCGTACCGGAAACGGATGATGCTCGCTTACCGCTTCCGGCCGAACCCATTGGTATTTACTATATTATTTTCAGTACATAATACTAGTTAATAAACTAGCGGACTCGATAGTCGTTGTCCTAAGCACACGAAAAAATCATTCAAATCAAAACTATTCTCGAATCCATTTGACCAACACACACAATGTATCACAATCGGTCCACCCGTTTAGTAGGAGTTTAATGACACACATACAGAAGTTTTATTTATATGAACGGCGTGACGTGACGGAGGAAAATATTTTTATACGGACCGTGGACGTGGATATAATATATAAGTGTCTACTCACCCGTTATTATTAATTATTTCTAGAGATTTAAATAGTTATTTTTTTCTATTTAAAATAAAAACTAAACAAATTTAATAACTATTACTGAGTTCTTACAATGCAAAAAATGTTAATAGTGCTATTCCTAGTGAAAGAGAATACTTTTAGAATTTATTATTACACTATTCGAATACATGCAATAGTATGTATATTGTATAATGTATATACAGTCAAAATCTGTTATAACATCGAAGGGACTACTCATATTTCATCGTAAAAACCGATAGTCGTAACAGTCAACAGGTGATGACGTTGTTATTAAGTACCTAATACAATAGAATTCAGCCGGGACCTTTGATTTTAGTCAATATATACCGGTATGTTGTTCTAAAGTTCTAAACGATGTCATCGTAAACGGTTTTGACTAAAGCCGTATGGATGATATTCATGCAATTGTGTAATTGGCCTTGTGCCTACCAACCAGAAACATTTGTTGCCAGGAATCAAACCCAGCACCTTCGGCATGTCGTTAATTAAGTCAGCATACTGACTCTTATAGATATTCTATAAGATTTATTAATAATATTTAATGTTTTTTTTTAGAACAATCCTCGCCGGCCATATTATTAAAGAAACGCCGAAACTTCTGTGAATCATTTGGATTTTAGATTTAACTTCTCTGTATAAAGAATTATTACAAATTAATGTCGTGAAAGAAATATGAGAATAATTATTACTCACAACTTTCTTTAATGGCATTAAATTTACTCGTTTTTTAATATTGTCTTTTGTTAAGTGTTATTTGAAAGAAACTTTTACCTGTTTTAAAATCATTAGTGGCGTGCCGTTAGAAATACAGTTTCTTTAATTTTCCAATTATGTTTATATTTCTTTCGATCCAGAACTCGTACAACTAATCTTTAAAAATATATTATTGTATTATATAATATAGCTAAAATAAGTTTTAATAATATACATTATTAGATTAAAACGTTTTTATCATACTTTAATATTTTTAATTACAATTTGACTGTTGCTGTAGCTCTAGAAATTAAATTCATCAAAAATTGTTCCAAAATACTGGTATAAAAACCTCCATAGAATGCATTATTTTAATATTTGTATGGTACAAGATTGTGTATTTTTCGTATACTCTGTGGTAGCTTTGTTTTAACGTGTAGAAGTAAGTTCGTATTAAACATAGGTCTCCGAGTACACAACCAATTTTTGTATTATATGTGTTCTGTGTTTCGTTAATAAACAATAAATAGTTTTATAACAGTGTATTTTGTATATTAATTCCCAATCCGTTTGCCCGTTTTCTATCCAAGGTCACAATCTGTCAACCTTCATATTATAGAAAAATTTGACAGTTTGACATTCTATAATACTAGAAAATTGTGCCCGCATCTCTCTCTGTAGCATGCCGAGAGATAATATATGTTATATTAAAGAGGCCCCTAAATATATGAAAAATCAATCTGACGTAGTCTCACTGGATCTATGTATTATAATATTTAGACAATTATTTAGATAAATATAAAATACCTTATATGGGGCACCTGACATTACAGCGTTTCGTAAAAAAAATATAAAATCACTACCGAATCGCAGCTATGAGATGGGTAAAGAAAAAGGTAGACGGGTCAGGTGATAGAGAGATGATCTAAAAGCACAAGGCACAGCAGGGGCTGTGTGACCCAGAGTTTCTCGGGTTATAAATAGCTCGAAGAGGCCTACGTGTCCCAGGACATGCTGTAGACCAAATATTTTGTTTTGTGTTGCACTGTATTTAAAATATATTTATAGTTACAGAAATAAAAGGCTTTAATTATAATAATAATACCTTATATGAAATCTAATTTTATTAAAACGATGTTGTCATGTCTGTTTTTACGTTTGTATTTAAAATGTACTTAACGTATTTATCTCTTGGATTCTCATGATTTATAATCATATTTTTTAAGTTTATATACGGTTATAATATTAAGCAACGTATCGGAATAATCATTATTTAGATTTAATTAAGAACATGTCATTAAAATGACCTTTACGATACCCATAAACACGGAAGGTCGTAATCAGAACATATTCAAGATCAACTTTAGCGCCTTGGTCTCATATCTTACGTATAGCGATTGCGTAATATTTTAAAATGGAAAGATACCTTTTATCTAATATTACTCATAAAAGAAGCTCCAATAGGTATCAACGTAGATTACTTTAGTTTGTAGTTTAAAAATATCCTTTCATATAAATTCTACAAGCGAAAATAGTACTTAATTTTGTTTTTTTTGAGTATTTTTTAATAATTAGCTTCTATTTAGCCCATGAAGTTAGAATAAATTTCGTATGTAGTTGACCTTTTATTGTCAAGTAGTTCCTTATCGATATTATGCAAAATAGACAACAAAACCTTGTACTATCTGAGGAATTTATCTAAACTCAATTCAATCAACGGCAGACGAAAAGTGCGAGTCGACCCACAAACTAATTATAGATTCGCCTGACAAATTTCAACTAGTGTTGTGATCATTTTAGTATGATGTTAACGGTCTAACAAACGCATTACGTGTTTATAAAATGAGAATAAAAGTTCGTAAAAGTGCAAGTTTCCAAGAATGCAGACATTTGAGTTCAGCTACCAGCGATGTCTCTACGTCATCAAGCACGTCAGAGGGTTCAGACACACCGTTGAGGAAGTAAGTATATTATGACAGAACAAAAAGCTTTTTAACATATATTCCTTGAAATGTAAGAAGAGACGCGTGAATCAGAATTTTCCGGGAGATTTTAGAGTTTTTAGAATTGTATACTTATTTAACAAAGAGAATAAGTTTTTGGGGAATGGGTGTTATCCTGGTTATCATTTTATTATAGCTGAACTATTATGAGATGAAAGATCAACACAGTTGTAATATAAAGCATATTCAATAAGCATGATAAAAAGTCTACATAGTTCATACAATTTCTTTAATAGTTAGAAATTTCGCTTTTTAAATGTGATTTTTTTCAATAAAATGACTGTTATGTCTAATGATGGTGAAACAATATGCCTAAATCAACAATGTTTATTTAATATTGCTTTTAATTAGTCACGAATTAAGATACAATCTGAACCTAAGCTGTACATAATAATAATAAAGAGACCACAAAAATTAATCTAAAATGTTTGGTTCCTGTGGCAGTCTACCTTTAATGCAGCATTTCCTGACTTTATTGTGATATTTATTCCTTGAGCGAGGAAAGCACAAGATCTGGGGTCTCCGGTACTGTCTACCAGGCACTAAATAGCTCTCTCTCTTTAACTTGCGCGTGCACTTGGACCCGACGGCAGGGTAACATCCCTAAATTATTTTCTACTTTTATAACAAAATTTGACGATTTATTATAATTATTCAGGTCCATAAACTACTCGCAAAATAACAACTTTTTAGGCAACAAGAAACAGGCCAGGGTATTTCCAAACCAATTAGTTTAAATGGTCTGTAATTTATTTCGACTTCTCAAACAAATCAAACTTCATGTAGAAAAAATGGTTTGACTGCTCCTTTGCCGGTACTATGTAACTCCCAACAATGATAACGATCCTGATTAATATTGAGTTTTTGTAACGCGTGATCCCAAATTTACTACATCAGCGTTATTATATAAAAGTTAGGGAGTACCGCCGCTGATACTTTTAAGTTTGATTACCGAAACGACTTCAAATTTGTCTCTCTCTTGGACTTAGATTTAACCGCTTGCTTCGGAGTGCCGTAGCTGGGCGATGGTCAGTCTTCAAAAAGCAAGCAGGTCTTAAGACCAGGGGTCGATCAGTCAGCATTGCCGGACTCTGTACCATCGGTGATAAAGGTAAGTAAGAAAGACGGTAGTACAAGAAAGAAAGAGCAGCATTTAGGTATAAGTACCTAATATGATATACCTATCTCCTGGTATTAAGGTCTTATGGAGTAATGGTTGCAGCTCCTTACAAACGTTGCGATTAAAAAGAGTGGCGGAGAGTTTATTGCCAGCTCTTCTCTTCCGTTCTACGCCCTTGGTTTGAGAACTGACACTAAATGTAAAGTTCATGTAGCATTTTATATACATTTCTTTTTTGACATTCATAAGTCTACATTGTGTTACCTATAGGATTAAATGATTTTTGACTTTTGACTTTTATAATTAAAAGCATTTTCCCTTACCAAGCTCTCTTTCCCTTACCTCAACTCTTGCCAAGTTGGTGCCGATAACTAAATTTTCTTTGATTATTTTAATATTCTAGTTTGTTTCACCTAGGGACGTAGGTCTTTTGATTTGTGCATTTCGAATATTTCCATTGTTAATTTTTGCAATAAACATTTCACTTTCCTGGGTAATTGATGGTTGATGGAGATTCCCACACTTTTCATATTAAGTTATGCAAGAAGTATAACGTATTCAAGTGGTTTAGTTAATTAGGGGGTTTTTTGTGACCGAAAAATGCCGAAGGAGGAGATTGTCAATTTAACGTGTATTTTTTTTAGATATCGGCTACATAGATTTTCCTGAACTAAGCCAACGGAGTTCGTTAATTCATAGCAGATCTTTTCAGTGTGTACCATCTCTATCTTTTACGTAAGTTTATGTTACCTAATGAAGTATTTGGCATGCAAGTTTTAAAAACATATTATTTTTATTCTTTACTTTTAAGTTTGGGTGAAGTGACCTTTGCTTACTTAACATTCTAGCGTTTAAGAAATTAAACTTAAGTGTCAACAGAAAATTCAAATAAAACTTGACTTGCCGCCATTTCCAAAATGTACATATGATTCCAATCAATAATATGCGCAATGCACCACTGCGCATGTATCTCTAGGATTTGAAAGTATTTATTCCAATATAGTTTTTAAATATATCGGGGTTAGAGGTATTATATAATGCATCCTCTACGCCCAGATGACGGCCACGATTTGTTAGGGATTGGTACAGTGTGGTGCGTGTATTGTGAATAAAAATATATTATAAATCGTATTTTAAAACAGTAATGTGGAATATTAATAAATAAGTGTTTATCAACGTTTATCTCTTTTGGGTGATAGTAAATAATATGATTTTTAAGTTATAAAAAATTATTAGAAAATGTGCGCGTATTTCTGTAAAATAACACGATCGTATATTAAATTTAATTACATAATCTAGGCAAAGCAAAGTTCCTTCTTATAGTTTGAAATTCAATGTCACGAAGAAAATATAAATGCATATTACAAGTTTCGAAGCAAACGTAGGCGTATAATCCCTTTGTTACACGATAGACGCAAGAATATCATAATAAAACCTTCTTCAAATTTATATTTTCCAGTGTTAGAATAGCGTCTATATTGGTAATAATCCTATAAACTTGTAGGGGTGCCGGTGCGTAATAGCAGACTCCAATTTACTTCGCACCTTCGATTGGAGTACCCCTATACCAGTTGAATGTTATTTATAATTAAAACAAAATCATATGAAATGCAAAATTTAAATACTCAGTGGCGATAAACAGTTTAAATCATTAAATTTCGTGCTGTAAAAGTGTATATAAAATATCACGTCATTAGTCGCTTGAAGAGAATATTTCGGTAAGTTTATTTAAACAAACCAATAGCGTCATTTAATTATTGATAACGTCCGCCCATCCGAGATATTAATAATATCTTTTACCCACAGATATAGAGTATTTCCAATATTCTTAACGTAGTAATAATAATAATTAAATAAAAGAAAACTAAAATACATTTTAAAAGTTTGATCCCTGCGGCAGTGTACCTTTAATGCTGGCAGCTTTCCCTCGCTGTAAATTAATAATTTACGATATTGTATTAACATATATATAATATACCCAAAATACATAATTATTATCTATATAAGGATTATATCTGTTTATATTGATACGTTAAATTGTAAGAAAATTCTTTATACATACAAGTGTCGTCAGACTTAATTAAATTTAAAAATTTGTTTAAATCAACTTATAAATTTGAGATTAAAACTAATTAAAACAACCTTGATTAGACCTTCTAACGCAGCCACAAAAATGCGAACGATTTTAATCACTCGTGTATCAAACATTGCATAGCTTAGATCGCATACATTATTTTTAGGGAACAGCATGGCGAGGTCCTCCATATATCATCTAGAATTCCAGAATTAACCTGCTTGCAGCTTGAAAGCTTATAATGCCAAGGTACAAGCAAGCACACAATTATTTACATTACCTTATTTTTCCTTCCAAGTTAATGCTTATTGGCTTAATATTTTCTTGCAAATTACACTAATCTTGTCTTTAGTAAGCAGAGGTAAGAATTGTGTAGCAAATATTGTATCCAAGCTTGAGCAAATTGCTGTATCTTTTGTTTATTTGTATACGTGCTTAATGTCTATGTGTGTTTCGGTGTTTATATAATACAGTTAAGGTAATAGATTGTAGAATACAACTTGATTTCGTATTTTCGTCAATATTGACTTCGCAATTATTTGCAATGACTTTAGAACATACTTTCTTTATAAAAGGTATAAAAATTTACAGCGAAATTCAATTACAGCTGATCTACATTTTACACGTAGCATAGAAGACAATGTATGAATGTTTGCTTTAATTTAAAATTCTATCTGTGGGAGACGTTTTCTACAACGTAAACTAATATGTCTACGCCAATAGATTTTATACTGTTATAACGTATATTAAAGTTATCTGATTGGCTCTGTCCTGTAGTCATGTTTATTTACAATACCAGTATACATATGTATATCTTACGATGGCCTATATTTGCTTCACAGGTGCAAAAGTATGATCTTTTAGTTCATCTTCATTAGACAGTCTCTTTAGAAGGATTGCTGCGCATAAAACTTCATTGCCATGTGCGGATCACTTGTATAACTTAATTATGGTTTTATTTTAAAAGGTCGGCAGGTGGGTCGAGCAGTTCGCACGGGCTTGAAGAAGCCAGCGACGGCAGCGACGCCGACCGTCCACGCAGGCACCTACGAGTTCCGTCTACTGTATATCCGGGGCAGTGAGTAGCTTTTAAAATAAAACTTTTACATAGACTGTAAGTTTATTTGCGCAAGTGATGAGCAATATAATAATTATAATTTCATGTTATATATCATCATTGGTTTGTATATAAGTTGTAAACCTGTTCGATGTCCTGGTGGAGAGAGAAACTGTGTCCAGTCTACGTTTCCACCATACTATTGTAAACTTCATTTTTTCTGATTATAAAACGACGGTAAATTTCAGTAAACACATGTTATGCAACTACGTAAGTAATTCTTTTCGTCGTCAATTTGACCTTGTTTAGATAAAACATTTTCATCTTTAAAATGATACAGTTATAGGTTTTAAGTCTTAAGGATTTCATAAAAATCCTTTCGCATGTGTGTAGTATGACTGTTATTGTAGCACGCGTAGCACGCACTGTAGACATGCGTAGGTGGCATATTTTGGGAAAGAATAGAAATATCATATTAATGTGACAATGACGCGAGATATGCGCAGAAAGTTGTTTTTGTGGTAATATTTACAATTATTATCTATACTTTAGCGACAATAAATCACGATAAAATTTGCATATAATATTTTAGTTACAGTGTTCGTAGATACTGAAAAGTCGTTTGACTTTCGTCCTTATTTTCAAACCACAAAATATTTTTAAGAATATTTCAAATAATAACTTTTAAACTAGAAATAAGTGAAATATCCTAATTGTGCTTGCTCCAATACCTTTCTATGTTTTTAAATATATGTTATATATTAAATAATCTTTCCATAATAATAAAGTCATTTGCCAACTTTAAACTGATATCTTCTAAACTTAAGTTACGTATTTTAATATATGGTTCATCAATAGATATAGTAAGAAAGCTTTAACAGACTATTCTTCCACAGTCTCTACGCTTAGAAAAATTCTCTATTCCCACGATCCGATTTGATAAAACGCCGAAGAAAACAGTATTTCACATATTGTGTTCAAACAATGTTTATAGCGAGTTCTATGACGTATATCAAGCTACGAATAACATTTGTTATTCGTGTGTTCCAAGGTTGGTAGGTATATTATAAAATATAGTAAAAATAAGTTGTTATGCATGCTGTATGGTAATTAAGCCAGTGGCAAACACCACATTACATTTTTGGATTATCTTTTTTGTCCAACGGTATTTTTTCCGTTGAATAAATAAAATAGGTATGTTTATAAGGCATACTCAGATATAAAATTTATTTACGCATAAAATGAAACATTAATGCAAACACGAACACGAAAGCAATAAAAATACACTTATAATAACTATTATTGAATGTATTCGATAACATTTAAATGTTGGTATAAAATGTACATTTCTGTAACTCCTACAAGCCAACAAATACAATAAAAAGAAGGAAGAAATTACATCTATATCAAAAACAGTACAGTCTACTATAAAGAATCAAAGTTTTCAATCAAGTTTCGCAACGCAGTTCTTCTACCATAAAAAGTTGTAAGATCCATGTAATAATAAAACAAGTTAAATACCAAGTTGGTAAATTTATTCAGTCCCTACTTAAGAGAACTTCTGTCTTATGTTATTATGTAATTAGCTAACCTAACCACATCGAATACTGTCCATATCATTATTACAAATATTTTATGTTTTAAATAAATACATTGACTTGACCATCCAACATCCAAATTTTTGCTCGACTCGGCAGGCGCACTACCTTGCCCCCAGATATAGTATGTTTATGTTCTATGGATTTGCTAAGCTATTCCAACAAATATTTTTTTCAAACTTTATCTTAATTATGAAGGAAGCTTGGTCCAATAAAAACTTTTGCCTCAAACGTCATAATTAATATACTTCAAGCTAAAAGCTATGTACCATAAAACGAAATAAACGTTATCCAGTCGAGTGTCAAAAAAAGTCGGATATTCTCATAATATTTATATTAGTTTCAAAGTTACTTTTATCATAATTTGATTAGGTTATCTTGCACTATGCAGTTACAAAATTTCTTGGCGTTTCGCCAGTATAGCCCCGTCTTTCAAAACCAATTAATTTTGTCTAGCCTGAACTAGCACGTACTTAGATTTCATAATACCCACTTGTGATTACGTAACTATAATTAAGACCAGTGTCTTAATTATAGTTACGTAATAAATAAAATTAACTTTTTATTGTTGTATGGATAGAATAAGAATAAGAATAAGAATAATTTTTATTTTCTCCCATATAACATTTACAACAACAATAAGATAACAGTATATATATAATAATTATAATATAATTATTATATATATACTATAATAAAAGATAATTTTAAGTCTGTTTCACTAAAGGACGCAGTTTGTTTAATAACAAAAGCGAATAATGTCAAATAGGTTCCTAATCTACTAACGAAACATGATACAGCAGCAGCAGTAATCATTTATTTTGATCAGATTTATAAACATTGCCTCGAAATCGATCAATCTATGTTCGTGGTGTGTTATCACTGAGGCAGATACCAGTTTTTGTTGGTAAAAACTGTTATTTATAAAATTAATCAACAACTTTCAGGATACCATAGCGAATAGTAGTAGAGTATTTGAATGAGATAAGAAAATAGCAATGCTTTTAGAGCTTACAATCTAATGAAGCGTTCCTTGACTTCAGCGTGCGTCTGTCATTCCTAAGGACGTTCGATACACAACTGTGCACCAATGGACTTTTATATGTATTGTGTATACTCGCTTTACGTTAAAAGAAACCGACATGTGTTAGACCCAAATAGTCAACGGCGTGTTTCAGGCGTAGAAAAAAACAAATGATCTAAAAGCTTGTAGCGCTATTGGTTTTTTTGTCTATATTTAACCCTCACGCCTTCTTGATGTTTCGATTTTCATATCTACGCCACGTCGTATTATTTCAATTAAAATGAACACGTAAACAACTTGTGCTCGAAATTCATAATACTTTAAGTGAAAAGACAACGGGGTATTATTTACCGCTATAATATCTTTGAACAAATAAGAAACGACTGTATGCGTGATAACCACTAACAGTGTTAGTGTTCTACCGACATTACGCTGTTTTTATCGTATCTAAAATTTAGAATATTTTTGTCTTACTTAAAATTTCACCTCCTTTAATAATTATTACTACAATCCTCATTCCTAAGTGTATTAGTTAAAGCAGTGTAATTACACTAATTTAGTTTTTATGGTTGGGAGAATAAGTCTGTAATTAATGTGATGTAAAGGAAAATCCAAAAATGGAAAGTGATGTTATCATGTACCCTATGACTTTACCATCAAGTGGGAAGGTAAAATGGTCTTTACGAAGAGATAGCCTGCCTGTTGTTAACTTGAGAAAGGCTTGGCTCAGGAGTCGAAGAAATAATTCACCTGGAGATTGTCGTAGAGGGTAGGTAATAGAAATACAAATAATTGCATTTGGCCTAACGTGTATAGACATAAAAATATCACTGCACAGATCTCCAGTGTGAATATCACCGCACTAAATCCTCGAAAAAAACTTTACAGATGTCCTAAAAGTCGTGTGTTTTTACTAAATTATAATTAAAATCAATAATTACACTCACATTGCCAAAAGGCTCGCAAGTGCGTTGCCGGCTTTTTAAGGTACGCTCTTTTCTTGAAGGACCCTAAGTCGAATTGGTTCGGAAATACTTCAGTGGGCAGCTGGTATAATATATAATCGATACATCTAGGTTTCAATAAAAATGTACATTAGAAGATAAAAATGGCACATCAAAATTACAAAATTCGCCCGATGTAAGCTTATAATAACTCTTTTAGCTACAGATTAGATATGGGGTCGTGGGGTTAATCTCATTTTTTTAAGTAACCGTTTACACTTAATGAAAGATTCTGAGAACGGTTAAGCCGACCGAATATGGACGGAGAACAGATATATGTATAAAATATGTTTCATTTTATATTAGGAGCTTAGTAATAATTCTTTATTATAATTTCTTAGTTTCTCGTAGCGACTGATGATGTTCCCGTTTTCAGTGAACCATCTACTGACCTTTACTATTATCATCGTTATTATAATATTATTATACTGTTTTATCAGTTCATATACATTGTTTTATAGTTAGCTGAAATATTTAAAAAACCTTTGACCTAATACGTTGGATTTTTTTATATTTACGATTAACATAAAATAAATTTACTTATTAATTATTAATTCTTTTGCATATAAAATATGTTTTCATAAAATAATTATTGTATTGTAATACAATTATGTACGCATTCATTAAATGCACTTATTGAATTTTGATTAATTATGACAAATATATATATAATAATACGTAGACGTATATGAGAACGGATGAAGTAAATGAATACAATCAATATCCGGCGATCCGAGAACTTTCTGAGATTCAGTAGAGCGTTTGAATTGGCCAAGTTGTAATTAATATGTGACAGTCGCTCGCTAAAGAAAAACCTAAGAAATTAGGCACACACGTGTTCATACACTGAGGCACATAAATTGAACCAAACATAAATGAACATTGTAGTATTCTTACTTTTTTAATTAATGTTAATTTAATTGCCTTTAGTGCCAGTTTAAATTTTTTATTGTAAGTTCGGCATTTGAATTAAGTTTTAATATCTAAATTAAATTTAAATCGAACAGTTACATAATATAAATCTATCGTTTTGGTAATGTTTTAGCACGATTTATGTGGCACGACGTACCTGTTAATAAATAGCATTATCATCGTAATCATAAAAAGATTAAACAAAAACACAATAGTACAACCAAAAACCCCTGTGGCGCTATAACCTTTTAGGTCTGGGCTTTAGATTACTGAATCTGTTTGTTATCTGATATACCTTTTGATGTACCGTCCGTGCCTGATGTTTTGGGTCTAAGGCATGCCGGTATCCTCACGATGATTTACATCACCGTACGAGCGAGTGTTAAATTAAATGCGCACATAGAAAGTTCATTTGGTATAGGATTTTTAATCAAATACCATCTTTTAATTTTAGATCTTATAATGTAAGGTATATTTATTTAAATAATATATACCTATTTAAACAAATGAACCTAGTAAAGGAACTTATCGTATCACTTAAATAAGCTTAAACAAAAAAAAATAAAGAAATGGAAATAATGTTGGCACATTACGTTACGTCATTAAATTTCTCATACTAAGAATATGAACGAATTTTGTATCATTTGCAAACACTAAAATTATTCAACGAGAACAAACATCGTGGTTGAGCACTAAATTAGGTTACATCTGTGGACTAGGTCATTGCCTGGTTGCAATTGTATGTGTAACATAGGTAGGCCAAATGAAAATAGGCTAAAACAACATTACCACTAAATTGTTAAAGTCGTACATAATATGAATAAAGTTTGAAGCCAAACAAAATCAAACTTGTACTTACTTGTAGTTACTTTTCGTAGGGATTTCACTGGAATTAGATGAAATGGGGAATACTTTCCGACCCAATAATACAAAACAGCTAACAAGTTACCTATATATCATTATTTTACGATATTTAGTACGATAGGATCACTTTACAATTATTTTATTCCTCCAAGCTACTTCGAAAATCGTTCCAAATGTTTGAATAACTAGATAATACGGAATTTGTCAAATTGAATATGCATTGTCCTATTCAGTAGGTTTTTGTTTAAATTATTATAAACAAAAAAAGTACAAAGTACTTTCCGTGCGGCTTGATCCCTTGGCGTTGCGTAGGGATGTGGGGTCTCTCTGTAACTTCTACCGCATTTACCATGACGAGTGTGCGGAGTTCAAAAATATAAATAAAAACGTAAATTTAGGGGCTGGTACTTCTCAAGATTTTATTAATGTGTTTATTTTAGAAGTGAACAAACTTTTCCTGGAAGATACGCTTAACATCATGGTTGACTCATGATGTAGTTGACAGTCAACAATTTATATGAGTTTCATGAAGGCGATTACCCAATCGTTTGATCTATGTTTGCACAAAGAAGAAAAATTCATCATACGTTCAGGGATAAACAATTAGGCAATTGTTTATTAGTTAAATATCGAGAAAATTTATCTATTAAGTACGTACTCAACGATAATTTAGAACGCTGTCATAACTGAGACATCATATTGTAATTATAGCTTACCTATCTCACAATTTTGACCGAATGATGAATATTATCTTGAATATTACCTATGTAGGAAGTCTCTTTACCAATGGGGAATGGAACCGATAAATTTATGTAGGTACTAGGTACCTCTTTGATTGATAAGTATACATATACAACTACGATAGCCAAAAAAAACAGAAAGGCAAAGAAATCGAAGAAAGCATTGCAAGTTGCTCAATGAAATCACTAGAGGTTGTGGTTCTCGGTAACCCTGGTGATCCCACTTCTTTGGCGTATTTCCCTAACATTACTAAGGTATTGATTTCTATTCCTGTCGGCAAGAGCATTTAAGTTCGTGTAGTTGTTTGACAACGTGCAGTTTAGGTTTATTACTACTCCCTATATTATATGAATAACTAATTGAAACCGAAAAGACGCAGGAGTCCTTTTATATTTTACAGTTATGAAACCATGTTTGGATATCTAGTATAACGCATTCCGAAAAGTACAGATAAATACTGAAAGGTGATCGGGGATATTGTTAATGTAAAAAAAATAACCAAACGCGTTATTCTCTGTCGCGAATCATCACTTAGGTAGTGTAATCTGCTTCTATACAACATAATTTCGCGCTTAACTCGCGGTAGTTGTGTGAGTTCCACAATCCACTACAGTATTAGTCAACAGCTGTTTCGAGTGGCTGGCGGTTGATCGGCGCTTACTGTCGATACTTCGATAGTCGATACATCGCATTCGTGTGATCATCTTAGTAGTCGTGGTTAAATGGCGGCAATTCTTTCGAAAATAATAAAAAATAAACAGATTGAAAGTATCTTGAAAGTATCTTAGAATCAATTTAATCTGTGAATTCATAATTTCTTCGTCCTAAATCCTACGTCAAATCTGAAGTGTCAAAAATGTTTTTGTAGGTTATATTTACCAAATAACTAAACAGTGACCAGTGTTTACAAATTGCAAAACTTTACGTTCTAATAAGATAGATACGTGTCCACCTTAGCAGAAAAATAATTCGTGAATTGTGAATGGTTAAGTGTACCAAGTAGTTCACTTGGACTTCTTGTAACAGATTCCTCTATGTTGTAACAAATATATTATACTGTACTAAATTAAATTTAGACTGAAATCAAAAAAGGAACTTGGGAATGAACTTGATTATCCTTTGAAAAGTAGGTAAGCCTACTAGTGTATTCAATACAAGCTATGGATGAACTCTTTTCGGTAAATCAATGAAGGATATTTCTGATGAAATTATGTTGTGTTTTGTACAAGCCACTCGTGATCGTGATAATCGTGATGTGTATAATAAAAATATCGATACCGAAAACGAAAATACAAAGGGCAAAAGCAAAACAAGAATTAAGCGTGCTGCTGTAGTGAATGACTTGTCTGAAGCGATTGACAGTGAGGTTGAATTAAGGGACATACCGCTAAGCAAAGGCAGGTCCTTAAGGCTGTCTTCTGGAGAAAAGATTCTCAAAAAATTTCCGGACGTCAAGCGGAGTTTTAGCGACCGATTCTCAGTCATATCAGATACTAGTGGAAAAAAGGCTGGCAAAGGAATATTGACTATAAGAAAAACATGGTAACTATATTATTTCTCTATATTATAATTACCAGTAAATTCAGTTTACAGCATAAGTAATGAAGAATTTTTGGTTTCCTACTATGTTTCTTAAGTTCTTATCAGATAAATAGCATCTTATATTTGGGTTTGTAGTACATATTATGTTCTCCATTCTTATAAAATTTTTAAACTTTTCTAATGCAAACTTTGATTTATTAGCTATTTTATTAATTTAAAGAATGTAAGCTATAAGTATTATCCATTTTTGTTACTAAAGACCTTATTTTAATGCTTTTTACATAAAATTCATAATGTATAAACTTTACTCAATAATTAACAATACAGTAATAAAAACATTAAATAAAATTATCCCTTAGTTTTCTGCTACTTCATGTATTTGTTTTACAATATAGGATTTTAAAATATAATAATGTTTCTTAATTTGAGTTACATAAATTTATGTTTATAATCACCTATATGTAGCAGATACTTGTGTTGTACCTGTATTTATTTATCAGTGATAAGATAACCAGGTGCAAAGTTATCACATTTGGCATAAATCTTTACTAAATATTTCATAAACAAGTTTTAGAGTATGATTAATGTATTGCTCTTTGTGTTCTTAAATAATTTTGTTTTGCATCATTCATTTTATACACACAAAGCAAGTCTAATTAGTTGAGACCTGTTGCATTGAGAACTTTAAATTGGTGGTAGGTTCAAATTTTCTTTTCAAAATATTAGTTCTTTTACATTATAAAATAAATTTTATCAAGAAAAACCTAGATGGAACTCACTTGATACATTTGACTAGTAAGATAGATAGACAAAATTTTTTGAACATTTTATACCAGATATCCTTAGAAAGGTTAAATTATATCAACCTTATATTTAAATATTACTTAAATGGCTTTATAACAACTGACCTTAACATTTGTAGTGACATATATTGAGAAATTGAAAGGTAATTTAATAGGCAGGTCCCAAGTACAATTTTATTATCATTTATAAATTCATTTTGGCTATCATTTGACCTAGTGTCAGAGGTCAATTACGAAGATGATTGGCCACCTACGCTATAAAGATAATTCTGTAGTATTTTAATAAATTGTATTGTTATGAGATAAAGTGGTCATGCTTTTATTTAAATTAGTAACCGTAAAGTAGGAAAAAAAGGAACCTCCTCAAAGTAAAATTACTTTGTGTATTCAAAATTTATTGACTAGTAGTTAGTTATTAGACCATTAATTGTTTTGTAGAATTATATTAGTGTTACATAAAATAGTATAAAAGAAAATAATTGTGCCCTCACTACCGGAACATGTAAAAGTTGTACAAAAGTTTCCTTCATATTAACTGGTCTAATTTTTACTGTGGGTACCGAAATAACTTATTAGTTTATTAAATTGATTATACTTATATATAATTACAGCACTAAGGTACCTATACTTTAGTTAAGAACTCCCATCAGGGCACAAGTATAAATAATAGAGGGACATACTCGTACATGCATACAATATTTTTGCTTAGGAATCTTACTTGTTCCCACTTAAAAATAAAAAGTGACTGCGTACAAAGTACACATGTCACAAGTGAAACTTCTTTTGTAAATTAATTATTGAGTAATTAAGCTGCCCAAATACCATAATTTAATTTTGCCAGTCTTTCTATATTAATGAATGATACTAAGGTTTATTAAAAACCAGAACTAAAATTAGTTGTTGTTGATAGTAATACCACCATAAATATGGTAACAATTACCAAATAATATAACAAATTCATTTTTATCATAATTGCTAATTTATGTCCACATTTTCTAAAATAGCCAACTGAGTCTTATCAAAAAAGGTCTTGGTTCTATGCTCTTATAAAAATATAATACCAACAAAAATAAAATGGTAATTTAGTTACTTAATCAAATAATAATGATATTGATATGTATTAAAAACACCATCGGTGTTCAAGTCTCAATCGCTCTCTCCCTTTTCTTCGACAAAAACGCTGCACAACTTCGTGACGTTCCGTAAATTTTTTACCCTCATGCGCCTAAAGAATTTTTACTTCAAAAAAACACCATATACAAGCTAACTAAGATACCAAGTTTATAAGGCCATATTTCTATAATACAATATGAAAAGAAATTCAATTTGCAATTTGACTCAATTTTCTAATACATTATATGTATACACATTACCGAGATACCTGACTACTCATTGCTATTAATAGTTACCTATATACATTATACGCATAACCCCTATTAAAAAAAATCGGGACCAAAGCAATAGATTCGTATGAAGGTAACGAATAGTAATAGCCCTGTATTATTATATACACCTGAAAGTACTTATAGCGTTTGTAAGAAATGACAAATGGTTCGTTCTTGTCTATAAAAAATTGCAAAATTAAACGGTAAATAGGAGTAGAAAGGATATACGCGTTGTAGACTGATTCGTAATGACCTTAATAATTCACAGTTCTACTTTTAATTATATTAACGAGGTTAAATTGTTAATTATGTTTATTAATTTTTTGTCATAGAATATATAAATTTATGTTAGGAATGATATTGTTTTGGAATTTTAATTTGTAAAACTTAAAATATTTTAAAATACAAAACTTGTAGGAGGATAAGGTAAAAATAATCTAAATACTACCAGGAAAAATTAAGGAAGGCCAAAGTATGTCAAAAAACATATTAATGTATATATAGCTAAATCCAGCTGATCCTGATCCAATTAATTAAATTTACTTAATAGTATAAGATCCCGATATACAACGACCTTCACCGAGATGCTTATTTATTGAAACGTATTTTATATTTAATTTAATATGTCAATAAATATAATCCATATGGGTTGCCTAGCAAATTTAAGTCCAGAGTATGTTTAATTAATATTTAAAAAAAAAAAAATTTTATAATTTGCATGTAGTAAATTTTTTTCAATCAATATTTTTAATCAGGGTAGTATTATATATGTATCACTATAACTTTCTTTTTTACTAAAGATGTATATATATACTTTAGTGTCACATAAAAAATATATACATAAATAATTAATTGATTAAAAACAACCTAACGTTTGCATATTCTATGGGCTTCATACTTTCAATTGGTATAGAATTTATCTAATAATCATACCGGTGAAATGTTTAAAAAAATATTTTTTTTTAATATTAATTAAAATACTCTGGACTGAAATTTGCTAGGCAACCCATATGGAATATATTTATTGACATATTAAATTAAATATAAAATACGTTTCATTAAATAAGCATCTCGGTGAAGGTCGTTGTATATCGGGATCTTAGACCATAAATATCAATCCTTATAAAATGTTTCGGTTATTATAAGATTTATGTCAAGCCAAGGTGTAAAGGAAAATGCTTACTACTTGAGATGTAGGCTATGTTAGTGTGAGTCGTCATCTCAATAATTAGCATCTGTCCATGACCTTAGAGTCTGCAAGTCTGCATCGCCCACGTGGATACGTGCCTTGGCAACGTGAGCCGAGGTTTTCATGCTGTTTTATGAAATCCAATATACCTGCATCTATGTTATTATGTAATTATTATATATTCACACTTTTTGTACCAGAATTAAATAATATTAACAAGAAACTTATAAAAACGGTGCAACGGGCGGCCTTATACTAAGCTATCTCTTCTAGGCAATTTAAAGCAAACAGTAAAAAAAGGAATTTGTGAACAAGTGCAATATTGCAAAACTAAATTTATAATACAAAAATAATCTAATATATAAAATTCTCGTGTCACAATGTTCGTTCTCATACTCCTCCAAAACGACTCGACGGATTATTATGAATTTTTTTATGCATATTCAGAATCGGCTACTATCTTTAAAATCCTTAAGTAATAAGGGGTGTCCACACCAAAATTTTTTTTGAATTCTTAGACAATTTTTTTTGGTTTTATTTTTTTATGATACAACATACAAAAATTCATACAACCCTTCATTTTCAATCTTAAAAGCAACTCCTATTTTTTATTATAGCAGATAGTTATTTTTATTGAACTAAAACAATGTTTCTTAGAAATAATATACAAGGCAAAACAACGTTTGCCGGGTCAGCTAGTAATAATATATTACATAAAGACAACATACAAAAAATCAAACATTCTAAATTCTAATATGTATTGATAAAGACAACTACATATTAACGTATAAACTTACCAAAACAGATAAAAAAAGCAAATGTAAATATTAAAACATGATTATTAAAATTCATATATTGTCAACTAAAATTTTTATTCAATTTTAATTGTACTATATTGTTTATACGTATACATAAGTAGATACAAGCACTTAAGAGCTTACTAAATATATATTAATATTTACGCCAATTTTTTAGAAAATATCAAATGTAATTAAAGCCGTATACAATTTTCTGTACAAAATTCAAATTTTATTCTAAAAGTGAAAAATTTGGTGTGTTAGTCTTTAAACCTGGGGTATTTTTTCCATATTCTGTATGTATATACATATACAGTTACAATCTTTATTTTTCTACCTTATTAATTGCTCTCAAACAGAATTCTGTCAGTACGGTATTGAAGCAGTTTATGAAACGGCATGTTAATAACAGCATCTATCGATCGGGTTTTGTGCGGTTTAAGCAACTGACTATTCACATATTCTAATAGTTAATAGACGCACGACTATAGCAAGGTCAACGCGTTATGGTGTGACTAAAGCTATTGAATTAAACATTATGTTGGTTTGAGAATAGTAACATTGGAGTCTTGCGACGATTTTCAAATGAGGTTTCGAAGCGATTTTCAACAAGAATTTCGAAGATCCATAACAATTTTACGCAAGCGATTTTTCAACTGATGAATACCATATGAAGTAGTCGAGTTTTGTTTTTGATAATAACTATTAAGACTATACTACTTGCAGCAGTCAATGTTTTTTTTGTAAGTAGCTATTCTGTTGTACTATTCTGAGTAATTTGATCAGATTTTGAGTACCCACCACGCAGAGAGAGAGTTTCGCAAAAAAAA